ATGCACGTTGGTATGGGAAATCGTGGTGGTCCCGCCATAAGAGCGGCAAGTGGTGGCAAGATCAAAGAAGCCATCCGATTGACGACGAGTTCAACGCACAGAATGAAGGATGGCCAAGTGCGTGCAATGATGGCATGAACTGAATTGTTTAACTTTAGTGGCTCGGAGAACACGAGACAGCAGGACTGCAGCTCGCTGCAAAATGTGTCAATGTTGACGAAGTTAATCTCAAGACATGTTTCGTTGTGTTCATGCCTCACAGGTACTGCGCTCAGATGCTATGGGAGCACGTCGGCATGGTGTTGTGGAAATCAGGGTCACAACTAACATCTGAACTACACCCAAAACTCTGCCATAACATAAGCACTGGTCCCAAAAACACGGGCCCCCATGACGTTGTGTACTCAATACTTATTGCATTGTCTAATGAGGATTCGCCGCTGCGGCCGTGGCAGTCATGCCGTTTTGCTAGCCTTCCCTCCGTGGCACAGCAGCGAGACATAGAAGAGGAGTTGGGCGTGGGTGATTGAAACTTGGCGCGACAATTCGCTGCGATCGTGTGTCTCGTTTCGACCATTGCACGTCTCACTTCAACCCTCCGTGGAAGAAGTTCATAAGCTTGCTTTCACAGCCCGCCACCCCAAACCACAAACGTATCAGCACTACCTGCAGCATGTCTGCAGCGCGACTGAGAAAGCCGGCTGCACCAGTCGGCCACTACAACAAGCACCGTGCTGGAATCCACGTGAAAATGTCGACTGCGCGACCTTGCTTCGGAAGAGTCCGTTGTTGACCATGTCGACATAAACCTCACAAATGTGTTTTGCGGGTGTTGGACTTTAGAAGGAAGTGCACGTTTTCAGCTCGCTATGAAAGCGGGGATGCAGGGAGTATGCAGTGACCGAAGGAATCCTGTTCTTAACGTTGCCAGGAATGGACGATCTGGAAAAACACGATATGATTCGAAAGGAGCTTGCTCCTTGAGTGACAGCGCTTCGAAGCCGTTCCCACAAATAGAAAGCCCACCTCGTAGCCGTAGATCAAGTTCGTGGCGCCAGAGACACTCCTCCAGTACTTCAATTTCAGGATGGCTGCCAACTGCTGTAGGTGACAGCAGTGCGCTTATGCTGCGCGCTTCCGTGTCAGGACGTCGAGTTTTGGGAGCAGAGCTTGCGGTAGAGCGCCCGGAAACCCGCGAGAAAATCTTCGAAAGCCATGCAAGCCAAACTACCTCGACCAACCTACTTCCCGGTCCAGGAGAGGTAGCCGCCAAGCTCTGTCTGGTCCAGGTCTTGATCTTGGAACCTGATTCCGGGAAACCGTACAGCCGTACCGTAGGCTATGCGGAGGCTTCAAGACTTTCAGCGGGGACATGGGCGCTGCCAAGCTCAACCGAAGAGATTAGAGCTTGGATGGCTTGGGACAGTTTAGTCTGTCAGCGATCACAGCCGCAGGAAACACGTGTTTGCAAGACTATTGGGACTGTGCCTGCTTCAGCAATGACCACATGGAGCGCAGTGCCCTACATGTACCGAGTAGCAGTGGTTGAAAGTCGTGCAGGCAGCGGCTGACGGCAGGACTCCACTGAGCCCTTGACAGATTTCCAGACTGGTCTCCGAACTAAGACAGGTAAGGCAGCATCCCCCCCTTCATCAACAATCGGACTGACGCACCACGACCAGCAAAGGCACCGATGCAGAAGCATCGGCCCTTTTGGCTAAGTTGCTGGATACTGGTGACCAGCGCGAAGTTGTCCGTAAATATGAGGGTCCTGGGTAGCTTCTGATTTGAAGCTGGTTCTCTTGACATATGGAGTTTTCTCGAATGCTCTTGCACAAGATCAAGGATCTTGGCAGGGATGCATCACTTGCAACATTCAGAGCTCCAAATGCTGACCGAGCCCAGCAACGTGGGCGTGCTCTGCTCCGCGAAAGAGGAGGCCGTGTGCACGTGAATCTTCGGGGCAATCTGTATTATGGCGCTGGCTGCTGCGTCTACATTATGCTTAGCCCAGTTCTGCCCAGTTACAGCATTACCAGATAGCTTTCCAACTGAAACTGGCAGAGGCAAACATGCACAGAATGCGATTAGAACGCCTGCAGCAATGTGAAAGTCACAACGACACGGGAGATCAACACCAGGGTTTCCAACGAGACTCCCTACTGTGGTTTCGAGGCACGGCCTCAGGCTTATGATGGAGGGTTCGGACTCGGACCCCGCCTGCTGGTATGGAAATCGTAATGTGTCGACAGGGATGGCGAAGGTGTTCGAGCCAACCTCATCAAGACACTCCAGTCTGGAATTTTGTCGCGCAGGCCTGTGAGAGTGAGCGTGCCAACTACGACAGGCACTGCGCTCGTCGATTGGCGAGGCTACCAGCATGTTCCAGCAGCGCAAAGAGTCGGCCGTTGGCCGGTCCGGCAGAGTCCGAAAGAAGCCAAGCCTCTGGCAGCGGCCGTGCCTGCCTTGGGGGGGGAACACTTTGACTCGTTGCTGCATCGAGTCGCATCGCTCTTCTTCTCTTCAGCGCGGCGCTTCGCCGCTTCGCTCATCGCTCTCGTTCTTTCGATTTTCTTGGAGGCTAACCGCCAGCTCTGCGAGCTTCCGACAAGCACAGCATGCTGTTCCTCTGTTCAAGAAGCGCAGAGAAAAGTAGGCCGAAGCAGAGCACCGGAAACTGAATTTGACCGCTGGAGATGAGACTGATGGCGAGACTCAAGCCCCTTGCCTGCGATCGCGAACTGCCGGCTGTGTCTGTGCTCAGGTACACGACCTGAAGCTCTTTCTATCACCCCGCAGTCACATAACATCGTAGATGTAGCACGTCATGCATCCGCAGCAACTCCTCAAGAAACTCCAAGATGCAGTCGGGGGTCGTAGTGCGAAGTCTGTGACACATCTCCCGGTGGTGACCACCTCGGGGAGAATGTGCTGGGAGAATGTGCTGTCTGGCTTTTGGCTGAGCTTTCTTCTCGCCGCCCCCGACAGCGTGCGATTAGGGCCTGCAACTCAGTGGCTCACGTTACATCTCCTCCGATTGCCACGTTGTCCAAGTCCAGGTCTTCAAAGGCCTGTGGAACTGAAGAGCCGTCAGCTTTGAATCCCACGGGTCTGTCCGGGAGCACGGAACTACTGCATGCGCACACTGATGCAGTGCTTTCCGCTGTCCAATAAGAAGTGAAAAGGGACGACAAGTGAACATGACTCGGGGTGAAATTACCTGACCATGAGTTGAGGTTTTCATCCGTGCGGCTGCAGGCATGTACGTGTACCTTGATTATGAACACTCCTGTAGGCCTACACGCTTAAAGAATCAAGGAGTCTGCAAGGGTTTCACACCGTACTGTTGTCGGGCCAAGCTTGTCAATGCCTCTTCCAAGGAAACGCTCTCAGTGCAAGTTTTTTTCCGTACCGGATTGCACCAGTTCAGCAATCCTAATTTAATCCATCTTCGAGGCACGGGGCCTGACTTAACAACAAGCGCCATTCCCCCGTTTCGCCCGTGCGCGCCAGAGAGGACACCGAAGCATCCGAGTCGGAGAACGCTGTAGAGCTGGGCGCAGCCTTCGCATGAAGCATCAGAAGCCTGTGT